CGGTCTCAGGAGAGCGCCACTCGGTCTGTCTGGGGCTTATGATGCCGGGGGTCTCCTTCCTCAGGAATTTCCTGCTTTGGGGACACTGCCTCCTTCCCATGAGAGTTCTCACAGTCTAGAACAAGGAGCAGGAGGCGCAACTGTGGACTTCTGCTTCCTGTCCCGGGAGACAGAAAATAACCAGGACAACATGAGACCCAGTCAAATCCCTGTGAGATCTGTCACAGGGAAGGGGTGGGGCCCAAAGGGGGTGGGAAATGCCTTGGGGAGAAGCAAGGAGGCCGCCCCCCACCTGGGAGACAAAGTTGAGTGACACTGAGCAGGGTCATTGCCAAATATAGGGCACCATGCTGAGTGTGGTGGCCAGCAGGGCAGTGACTTTCCACACCACTCCTGCAAGGTGGGCTTTGTTTTTCTCCAATTTTGAGGGAACTGAGCACAGAAAGGTTAAACGGCTTGCCCAGGATCACACAGCTGGCAAGTGGCAGAGTCACACTCAAGGCCTGAGGGGTCTCAACCCCCAGCCACATAGGTCCCTTTCCATCTTAGGGGACCCCATGTTGTACTGACGAAGACCAGGAAGCAGCTGTCTTGAGCTGCAGGGCAGAGGCCTGCCCAGGCCACCAGGCTCCTCCCCCACACTGGGGAGGAGTGCTCTCTGGGTGGGCCCCACTGCCTACACGTGCTAGGCTGAGGGGTGGGCCCTGGGGTCTCCAAGGCCTGACTGCCAGGCCACCATCCAGAGGCCGGTCCACAACCTGGACCCCCGACCACAAACCCTGGGGTAAGACAGGCCCCCTTCACCCTTCACTGCACCCAGCACACTGGGCTCCGTCACGGCCAAGGCACTTCTCTGGCCTGGGTGGCAGGGAGCAGGTAACCCGGCCTGGCCACCAAGAGCACTGGCCAGGGCCATGCGTACTGCCTGGCGAGGCTGAGCCACGGGTCTCAGCGTTTGAGCCCCGACTGCCCGCAGGTCCTGATGGGGTGGACCTTTATTGCGCCTCCTCCTCCAACTCCCGGCAGACACCTATAAACTCTGTTCAGGGCTTAGCTCTGCTGACCCCACCCTGTGCCCCCTGGAACCTCTCAGCCCTTGTGTACCATCCCATCCTTGGGCCTCTGGCAAGGACAGGAATCTCAGCCAATGCAGGTGACCCTGTGCCTAGCACACAGCAGCACCGCGGCCACACGTGGGGAGAGGAGTGGTCTGTGTCATCACCAGCAGCCGGGGAGCTGAGCCTTGGCTCAGCAGGTGCACCCCTCCACTGCTGCAAGCCCAGGCATTCAGGGTCTGGTTGAGGGAGGTGCAGCTACAGCTCAGGGTAGGGGCTCTCTGGCCACGAGCTAGATTCTGTCAGAAATGTGGGGCAAGTTCTGGGGGAAGCTAGCTTCACGGATTCCAAAGGGGTGAGGATTCGGGCACCAGCCCTGGGGTAAGTTCCCCAGAACCTTGCAGCCAGCCCAAGAAAAGGAAAGGCCTGGGAACACACGAGCTCTGAGCTCTCCAGGCTCCCAGATTCTAGGCGGAGTCGCCAGTTCCCTTCATATCAGCCAGGAAAACGGGGGGCTTGCTGAGTAAAGGGTGTGCGCACACAGAGCAAGGCTGAGGGCCAGCAGGGCACATCGTGAACTGCACCTGGGGGTCCCTGGTGGTCACTTGGGACAGAAGCTGGCTCTGGTTGGTCCAGGCCATTCTGGAGTCATCTTCTCATGCTCTGCGTGCCCCGTGTGCCACTCCCTGCTTCCTCCTCTCTCTGGACATGCACAGCCAGGCCTCTGCCTACTCATTCCCGGCGTTGTTAAGCCCCTGAGTCATGCTAGCAGCCACCTGCCTCCAGAATTCTCATTATGGAAGCAAAACAAAACCTCCATTTTAAAAGGTGCAATGAGATGGATTTTCTGTTCCTTGCAGCTTGAAAGCAAATTCCTAACTGAGCCACACCTCAGGCTGAGCGAGCTATGATCTCAGCTCAGGTGCAGACAGCGCTTCCTTCCCTACACAGAGTGGTCGAAGCCCTCGCTGGGCCCGGGACCTCTAGGAAGGGTATAGGTGCCAGGGCGGGTGCTGCTGGCATCCTGAGTTGGGGACTCGGGAGTGCAGGGGGACATCTGACAGAGGTTTTGCTGCTTTCCCCTCCATGTTGTTTCTCAGCTGCAGCTGAGAGCTGGGCATCAGTGGGTGTTAGGTCCTTTCACAGTAGAGGTGGAGTTTTGTGCTTCCCTGGAGCAATGCTTGTGAGCCAAGGACCTGGAAATTAGAAGCTGCGGAGAAGCAAGGTTTGAGGGAGGAGTGTGGTGGGGCCCTGTTTCCCCAGCTTAATGAGCTCCCTAGCTTGATGCGGGGACAAAAGCCTGAGAGCTGCCAGGTCCCTGGGATTGGCTAGCTTTGCCCAGGTGCAGCGTGACTTGCATTGCATTTTGGAGCCTCTGGGGTGCAGCTGAGCTGCAGGATCCCCAGGAGCAGAGGCAGGGCTGGGGGAGGGGTGGGCTTGGCAAGGTGGGCCTCTCCACTCAGCCTCTCATCCACTCCCCCGTTGGGGCTGTAGACGTCACCATTAGGTCCAACGAATTAAGAGACAAAGAGTGGAGTTATTCCCAGACCCCTGTTTCCAAGGCAACTCTTGCTCTGCCCCTCAGAGAGCAGGCATTGGAACAGTGTTTTCGTGTCCCAGTCCCTAAGGGGGAGGAGGGATGAACCCGGTGGGCTCTGGGCAGAGTCTGCCTCTCCCTCCGTGTCTCTCCTGCAGCCCTGCACATCTGCCCACACCCAGGTCTCCTGGCCAGGGTGTCCGTGTCCTCCTATCCCCACGTGGCTGGTGAGCACTGGCCAGGACGGAGCCTGGGGGCTCAGCACCCTGTCTCCTCATGTATGTCCTCAAGTGTGAGTGGTCAGAGCTCATGGGGGCACATGCGGCTGGACTTTGTCACACGAGTTGAATCGGGAGCCACACCCCAGCTCTTGGACAGCCAGGCCTGGTGTGAGCACCCCGAGGGGCGCTGAGAGGCCGGCCAGGCCGCTCTGCACGCAGGCGGGGCTGGCGTGGAGGCACCGTGGTGCGGCCTGTCCATCCATCACGCTTTATTTTTCACCCCTCCCCCCACTGGTAGATCATATTTCAACTTTAAAAATCCCTGTCTCGAGGAGCCTGAATCTAGCTGCATGCAAAGGGCACGAATTCCGTCTGGACGGGAAGAAGCCTTTGCTAGAAGCTGAGCTTGGGCTCCGAGGACCAGGTCTGACTCTGGGCTGTGCCTGCCAGTGTCCACGCAAGTCCGCCTTCCTGCTGCACCTGGGGCTGGCTCCTTGGTCTCCAGGACTGGACTTACCTCTCCAGGCCATGGCTTCCAGCACAGCCAAATGTGGGCAGGTGTCCAGGAAGGGTCTGATCCTAATCCTTGGAGCCTGTGAATGTCATCTGTTGTGGCAGAAGGGACTTTGCGGCTGTGATGGACTTTCGGCTCTGAGAGGGGAGACTGTAGTGAACTGTCCTGGTGGCCCTGAACGTCATTGCAGGGTCCTTGTGAGTGGGCAGCAGAGGGCGGGGAGGGAAGGAGCCCAGGAGCTGTGGTCTGAGGCGGGAGCAAGGGGCCACGAGCCAAGGAGGGCCAGCGCCACCAGGAGCTGGAAAAGGCAAGGAATGGGTTCTCTCTAGAAGGAACACAGACCTGCCAGAGCCTTGGTTTTAGACTTCTGACTCCAGAACCGTCGTGCAAACTCATGTTGTTTTCAGTCACTAAGTTCGTGGGAATTTGTTCCCCGCCTGCTGCCTCTCTGCACAGCCTCCCGCCACATCCTGTTGTTCGCTCTCGGGGCTGACACCATGTCCTGGGCTTTGGGAAGGGCCTAGGATGTCTTGGCTGTGACCATCCGCTGGTGCCTCTGACCCACCTGGCTCTGACTGGACTCAGCTTGGGAATCTAGCCCGGCCTTGGCTGGAGTCCAGCAACTACCCCCCCACACCTCCTGACACCCCAGGGAAGCCAGCTGCAGTTGGCAGGAAGCCCTGGGACTGGATCCTGGACCTGTCACCACCCAGTTGTGTGACTTCGAGCTGGAGCCTCAGGTCCCAGCCTCTCCTCAGCCAGGAGGCTGTGACAGGGCCCCTCTTAGACAGCTTGGCATAGTGCCCCTCCTCCTGCTCAGAGTTTGAGTTGGTGCCAGGACAGAGAGCTCTGTGGGCTGCTGGGGGCTGGTGTTTTGGGGTGGGTGCCTGGCAGACGGGCTTCTCTGTTCCTGAATCAGCTCCTCGCCCACTTCCTAAGCCACTGGCACACTCAAAGTACCCCCTGCCTCCTTCGTCTTTGGGCAGGGCAGGTTAGAGCCCCAGTGAGGAGTCGGGCTGCACTTCCTGCTTCCTCACGGGTGGGAATGGGGCACCCCGGCTGCCAGCAGGGCCCTAGGAGCTTGGGATATGGGGCTATCACCTAGGCAGGAGTCCACGGCCAGGGCAAGCCCCCTGCCAGTGGCTTCATTTTTTTTTTCTTTATTTTTTATTCTCTAAACTGTTTCAGAATTTCTTTTTTCCTAGAGACAGGATCTCATTATGTTGCCTCCCATGATTCCCACTTCACTGAGGAGGAGACCAAGCAGAGGTGAAGTGGTTCTGAGGGGCCCTGGAGCTGGGAAGGGGTCCACTGAAGAATTGAACCCGGCAGTCTGACCCCTGAGCTGTGCTCCAGTAGAGGCTGTATATGTAAGTGTGTGTGTGCATGAGACTGTGAAAATGCAAGAAACAGAGAAACCCCAAATAACTGGCTTCAACATGGTAGAAATTTATTTCCCTGCCTGCCCCTCCAACCCCACCACCCCTTTCCCCAGTGGGTGGCCTACAGCCTCCCTCCCAAAGCCTCCTCCCTCCGGACAGGTGAGAGGCAGACCTGGGAAAGGGCAGAGGAGTTTCCATCCTCTGGGGAATCAGCGGGGCTCACCCAGGCACCCTGGCTGGGCTGGTGGACCCACCCTGTGAGCCGCGGCTCCTGGGGGCCTGGGCCTGACACCTGCATGCTGCCATCCTGCTGCTCACAGGTAGTGGAGCGCAGAGGCCAAGGCTGCCTGGCGGGGAAACCGAGGAAACAGACCTCGCTGGGAGGAGGCAGTGCTGGCTGGATCATGAAAGATGCTTCAAGTTTATTCTCCAAAGCTGGTGGAGTGGGGAGGGGAGGAGAAGTCGCCGGCAGAACGCTGGCCAGGCCAGGGTACAGCTGGGTGTGGTGGGCTGGGGTGGGGTAGCTGGTGGGTCAGGGTCTTCAGGGCCCCATTGCCCAAAGGCTGGTGAGGAGGCTGAGCAGGAGGGCTGTGCCCACACTTTCAGAGCCACCTGCTCCCCTGCCCGGTGAGTCCTGGACTTGGGAGCCCTGCCAGGGTGGGACGTTGCACAGGGTGGATTGGCAGCAGGTCACGGTCATCTGGGTCCCCTCTGCCGTCCTGCTGACAGGTTGGCAGCTGTCTGCACACCACGTTGAGTAGGTGGTCAGGAGGCCTGACTCTGGGAGCGGGAGTTGGAGAATAGGGGCTGAGGCCAGGTGGGGGTCACCAAGAGGGCTCCACCTCACTCTGGGTGGGCCCCTCAGGCATGGGTGTTGGGGCACCTCGCTTCCAGCTGCCCAGATCTGCGCATGCCAGGGTCCCATGCCTACTCACCAGTGTTCCCGTGGGCCACGAGGGTTGTGCAGAAGGTCTGGCTGAGCGAGCAGCTCTGGGTCAGGTTGCAGCTCTCCTCCCTGCGCAGGGACTCGCAGGTGTAGCACCGCAGCCCTGCGCGCAAGGCCGGGCTCAGGCGGGCCCTCCAAGCCTGTGCTCTGTGCCCCTCCAGTCTCCTCCTAAGTCCGGGTCCATCTTCCTGTTCTCAGCTGCCCCCCACAAAGCCTGCCCTGGTGCAGCCTCCTGCACCCCCTGCTCAGATTGGCCAGCGAGCCCACATCGGGCCCGCACTCCCAGCTGTGCAGGAGCCTGTGCTGTCGAGGGTGAACTTTCCGTTCATCTCTCGCTGGGTGGCACCGCCCAGGCCCCTGCCATGGGTATGGAGGACCTGCAGGTGAGTCTGACTCAGCCCCACCTCAGGGCATCCTGCCTGGCAGAAGAGGACCCCCTGGGGGGGACCTCATGGAGGGGCATGGGTGGGGCTGGGCCTGGGGGGAGAGAGCCAGTTGGGCAGGGGGTGGGGCTGGGCCGCAGGGGCAGGTGGTGCAGGGGCAGACTGTGCAGGTAGCATGTGGCCATTTGCTCTGCCTTCTTCTTGGGGACTGGGGAGAGGAGATGGTGGCCCCAGCCGTGGGCGGGGGGGGGGCTTGTCGGGTATGCTCTTGCTCACCCCCACTCTGCTCTGCTCAAAGCCCTTCCCTGGCTCTCCACCTGTCTGCCTGTTCCTGCCTTTCCCACCTGAACCCCAGCCCTGGGGCCTCTGCATTCGCTGGTCTCCACCCTTGTGAACCCCTACCCAACCTCTGTGCACCACGGTCAGGGTGAGAGGTGAGGGGTGTGCTGAGTGTCCCCCACTGCACTAGAGGCAAGCTCACAGCTCACAATGGGTGGGGGTGGGTTGTGTCGGTACACAAGCCCCGCCCCCGGCACCACACTGAGTGTGGAAGGAATGCTCAGGCAGACAGAGCGGGAAGTGTAGGGGCCCCAGGTAGGGGTGGATGGGGTACCTCTGCCCCTGCTGCCAGGGATAGTGTTGGCCTCTTCCTCTTCCTCCTCGTCCTCATCTTCCTCTTCGTAGGTGTCCGGCCCGTAGTCCCCGTCGTTGTCCTCCTCCTGTGGCTGCCCGCTCCCTAGCCACACAAGAACACCTGTAAACCTCAGCTGCCAGGTACAGTGGACACCTGCTCTGCTCCAGGCAAATGCCCGCTTCCCACCCCTCCCGTTCCTGCGTGCCCTACTCCGCTCCCTCCACGCCGGTCCTGCAGCCAAGTGCGTCCTGTCATCCTCATTACCAATGACCCGGCTGCTGTGCACTGGCCCCTCGCTGCAGCCACCCGAACCCCCACCCCACATAACTCTCTCTGTGGCCTGCCTGTTTTAAAGAAGAGGAAACTGAGGCTGGGAGAAAAGCCAGATCCCCAAACCCTGCAGTGCTGTAGAGGCTGAGCCTGGAGCTGGGGAGGAGAGGGAACCTGGGGGAGGAGAGCCCCCAGGGCCTGGCTAGGGCCACAGATATTTGGGGACCCATGGGAGCCCAGGACAGCCTCCATCCTCCTCCCTCTGGCTGGGGACTCCAGCTTCATCTCCTCCTCTCCCTAAGCTCACGTCTAGTCCCCAGGTTGAGGGTCCCTGTAGGTCTCTGTGGGCTGGGACTGCGTGACCCTGCTCGCAGGGCCACCCTGGGCCCCGCACCTGGCTGCCTGCACAGCAGCAGGGTAAGCAGGACAGCCCCGAGCGCCTTCATCGTGCTGGACGCTGCTGCTCACTCGCGCTGAGTCCTCGCTCTGGGCTCTGGATCTGTGGTAAGTGGGATGAAGGGCATTGCTGGGGGCTTCCTGGTGGCCCCCACCAGCTCCAGCCTCAAACAATGGGCCTCACACTGATCCCCAGCTCCAGGCACCAGGCCAGGGACAGCCATTTCCCTCCAGGACCTCTGTGGCCCAAGGGGAAGGAGAAGTCATTGTGGTCGGCCTTGGCGCGTCCTGTCCACCTGTGCTGCTTGCTGCCTGTAGCTGCGCCTGGCGGAAGATGGTGCCAGCCACAGGAGCCCCCGGGGTCCTGCCCTGTCTCACTGGGCCTCAGAGCTTCAGCCCTGCAGTGCGGGGCAGAGGGCCTCGCTCTGGGCCAGGCAGCGCCCGGCAGCCCTCACCCCCTTGTCTGGAGTGTGGACGCCGTGGCCCTGCACAGCCACAGGAGCTCAGGGTCAGGGACCCTCTATCCGCAGACCATTGGCCAGGCATCTTCCCCTCAAGTCAGCATCACACCAGGGCCTCTTTCAGAGTTTTTAAATAAAAACACAATGGATGTCCTCCTGCTAAGGCTACACTCTCAGCTCCCTCCTCTCACCTCCTCCTCTACGGCAGTCATCAGTGCACTCGGGGGGCCTTGGCCTCCTGGCTGCCCCTTGCTCCCACCTCAGGCCTTTGCCCCTGCTGTTCCCTCTGCCTGGCATGCTGTTCCCACCAGGATGCACTTGGCTGTCTCCCCACCGTATTCAGCCTCTGCTCAGATGTCACCCCTTCAGAGAGGCCTTCTCCGGCCGCCCCATCTCATGCTGGGGCTTAGGACAGAGCCTGGTGCAGGTGACAGCCCTTCAGGGTCTGCTGGGACCACAGTTCTAGCCACCCAGCCAACAGGCCCTCCTTAATTCCTATCGAACCTGTCATTCTTTCTACCCTATGGGCCACTCCCCAGCCTCCAGCCCTCCCTGTCCTGGCTGACAAGGTCACTTTCCAAACCAGGTCACCGCCATAGCTGGACTCCTTGTCAGAACCTCTGCATGCCTAATGCTCACCTCGTCTATGTGCGCGGCCCCGCCCCTGCCCCCACCCTCGTGTCCTGCTCCACCCCTGCCCCTCCACCCGTGTCCCGCCCCTGGCCCCACCCTGGCCCCGCTCCCTCGTGTCCCATCAAGTCCCTGCCTCCCACCCTTGTGCTGTCCCAAGTCCCCCGCCCGGTGCCCAGCCTTACCACAGCCCCTTTGACTGCGGGAGCTGCTCCCAGGAAGGGCCCTCCTGGGGTTCTCAGGACTCTGTTAGGAAGCAGGGGCGTCTTCACCTGCCACCCCCCCCACGCGGGCCCAGGCCCCTCGAGTTGCCTCCCCTTGGGCCCAGCGCCTCTCCAGCCCAGGTGCAAACTGCCCAGCTCAGCCAGAGCCTGTGAGAGTCACCTAGGGACAATATCAGCAACATTTAATTCACTAATTAAAATTAAATTTAAATGTATTGGTCTTTAAAAACTCTAGGGGGCAGTAGTATTTATTATCCCCACTTTACCGACAAGGATCTTCGGCTGAGAGGCTCAGCACTGCTGCCCCCGCCCCTCCCACAGCCAGCACAGCCTGCTCCCTCTGTCCCAGCCAGGAAAGGCTGTGGGATCTGGCGCAGTCCGTACAGAAGGTTCCACGTGGCCCCACGAGGCCAGGGGAGCTCTGCCCCCTGCCCTGACACCTTCGTGGCAGACACCTGGTCCCCAGTACTGCCCCCAGCCCACAGGGCAGAGTGACCATCTCAGTGTGTGTGGAGCCTGCCCCTCCACCCAGGGCAGGGTTGTGTCCTCTCAGACACTCCAGGGTGGGGACATATTCCCTGAGACCCCCGGGTCCAGAACATGCCCCCCCAGGGCCAGGGCTGAGGGTTGGTGGCCCTGAGGGCAGCCACTGTGGGCCACTTTAAAGCCTCTGTCCTACAAGGCCCTGCATTTGACCTCTTTTCCAGGCCCAAGCTTCCTCCCCAGGCCATGCCCACACCCCACAGTCCCTTTAAGGGAAGCCCCGTCACCCCAACTCCCTGCCCACAGACCCCTGTGCCTCAGGGCCCTGGCTTTGCCTGCTGTACCTGGCTTGGCTGGGCTGGCTCCCCTGGGCAGCCCTTCTGGACACTTCTGGTCTCTGGGTCCCCTCCTCCCTGGTGGCCTGCATGAAACACGTTGCTCTTTCTGGCAGCAGCAGCCTTGGGCCCAGAGCTCGGTTCTTTTTTTCTGCCCGGTAGTGGGTGAGATGGTGAGGGTGGGGCTTGGGGGGAGGTCAGTGCTGCCGTCATGCCAGGGAGGGGCCATGGGCTCTGCTGGCCTTGGGGAACTACGCTGAGCCCTCCCCTGGTAGTCTCCGGGGACACCAAGGTGAGCCAGATCCAGTCCCCAAGAAGGCAGCTGGCCCCTGAGATTGGGGTGAGAGTATCAGGGATGCATCCTGGAGGGAGGCATCTTGGGGCTAGGGGCTGAGGGGTGAGCAGTGTTTGCCTGTGAGGAAGGGTGAGCAAATGTTTCTGGCTGAGGGCCAAGGGTCTGGCATCTGTGCTGGGAGAGTGGGGGCTGCAGATGTGCCAGCCCTCACGACCATCTCCCTGCTCTCGGCTCCTTTCCACCCTCTTTGCAGCTGACTTTCTGTCTCTGGGAATCAGGGAACCTGGTTGTGGCAGAGGGAGGGGCTTCCTTTTTAGAGCAAAGTCCAGACCCTCATCCCCTGGGTGGGTGGGGAAGGACAGCTCTCCCAGGTCCCTCTCCCCTTCTGAGGCCCGGTCAGGCAGGCTGCTCACTACATTCGCACTGAGGCACAGGCCCCTTGCTTCCCTGGAATCCAGCTGCAGACAGAGGCAGATGTGGCGGGCCAGAGGGAGCAGTCTGTTGGGTCCTGGAAGGGCCCCCACACTCTGCACCCCCATTTACCCCCAGGAACCCACAAGGGAGACGCATGACGGTCTCAGAAGCTCATTCATTAAGTCCTTCATGCATGCGGGCATCCTTCCCTTGTCCGTCCTCCTTTCCACGCTGGTCCACACCCCAGGAGCCCTCAATGTGCATTTTCTCTAGTCCTTAGACACCCTCGGCCCATCCACATCAATCCTGGAGAGTCTCCCCTTCCCTCACCCCTCCAAGCTCCCACCAGCGGAGGAGGCCGACATCTGTCTAAAGCCAACCAGCAGGGCCCTGGCCCTCTGCCCTTCCTGCCAGCATCTTCTCCTTCTGGATGCAGAGACTCAGGCCCAGCACTGCCCTCTCCAGGGGCCTTTCTCCATGAACCCCTCCCATACTCACCCCTGCTTAGGGCCCTTGGCCTGGCTGAGGGTGCAAGGCTTAGCTTTAACACCCACCACCCCCGCCCCCCGCCAGAGAAACACAAGGGCAAGGAACACACTGTACATATCATTATTTTATCCCATTAGAAATCAATCTCCCTAACACTGGCATGTTTAAAAAGACTCTAAAAATAATTATGCAGAGACTCTGCAGCTGTGTGGAAGATGAAGGCTCTCTTAATATCCTGAGTCAGAGCTCAGGAAACGGATGAAGCCAGGGACCTGGGTGCTGCTGCGAGCTACTTTGTGTATCAGCAGGAAGGAAGGCGGGCTCCGCGTGCCACCGCTGCCTGTTCACGCAGGGACACTGCCCCTCTGGGCTTACTTTCCTACACTATGGCCAAGACGGGGATGGGGGGTGGGGTGGTGCACATCAGCCCCTTGGTCCTCCCAGCCTACACCAATGCCATCCCCTACTCTTGCCCATAGGCACCTCTTCCTGACTGCCCTCAGCCATCATCCAGTGCCTGTTCCATTCTGGGCTCACGACCCCAAAGGAAACGGGGCCTGGGACACTTAAGACCCCAAAGCTCCCATGTAGTGTTGTCCTGCTCATTTTGGAATGGGCCCTGGCGGGGAGAAGGGTCTTGTCTGTGGGAGGGTGGGTGAGGGCCCCAGGCCCCAGCCCTGTCCTCCCCTCCAGGAGCAGCGGTGGCCACCAGCAGCCTCCTGTCCCTCCCTGTTGTCCAGGGCTCAGTCTGGGCCTCCTCCTGCCCCTGCCTGGGTCCCTTCTCCTCCTCCTAGCCTGACTTAGGAGCTCTGTGCTTAGCAGGGCGGTCAGAACGACCCTGGGGTGCAGCCTTCACATCTCAGGCAGAGCATGTGCCTCTGAGACTCTGGGGCTCTGGATGGGGGTCTGGGGTCTGCGGGTGTGGGCGGAGGCTGAGACCCCTGCCCAGGCCCAGGTTGGTTTGGGGTTTCATTAGACTACACGGGCTACTGCTTTGCATAGCAGCTGCGACTAACTGCTGGCCAGGGCCAGCTGGTGCCTGGAATGCCGGCTACTGAAGGGTTGGTTGCTTTGCTCTCTGCTCTGCTCCCAGGCCTGGCATGGTTTTAGTTAAGTGCACTGTTTTGTTGGAGCTTGGATGCCCTGCATCTGACTTTACCTACAGATGAGGAGACAGGCCCAGAGAGGCCAGTGCAGGCTGGCAGCAGAGCCAGAGGCCCTGGGTGCTTGTTCAGGCCTGGGCGCCCTCTGCCCAGGAGAGCAGGACCCCAGATGCTCCGCCACCCCCAGGGAGGATAAGCCCCAGGCTGGGAGCTGCACCCATATCCACCTGCCAGCGGGTGCCCCTGGCGAAGGCTGCATTCCCTGGCCCCATGTCCTTGCCTATGGACAGGCTTGGCAATATTTTCTTCATTGGGTTTGGGGGCATTTCAGCTGGGGTTTGGGTATGAAGGGGACTGGGCCAGTGGCAAACAGGTGCTCACAGAAACAAGAGAGGAAGGTTGGAGGGATTTAGAGCCCGGGCCTGCCTTTCCCAGTGTGACCTGGGGCAGGTCACGGCATCTGTCTCAGTCTGGGCACCTGTGAAATGGGATAACCACAGCCTCCCTCTAAGTCGGGTGTGTGGGACAGATCAATATATGAAAACCAGTTGGCACAGTGACCAGCACATCACCCCCTTGAGGGTCCCTCTTGGCTCTTGCTGTCACCCCTCCCCACCTTGTCCCAGGACCACAGGCGCTGGTGAGCACCCTTGGACCAGATCTGGT